CTTAAATTTTAGTTGCTATATGGGTTTTTTTTATTAAAGAAAATCCATATTGGGTTTATGATTAAACAGATCATATTAGGTCATCATGGGGTAGAAGCAGAAGGATCAAGCCTCTAGCTTGCAAGTCACCGACCCGAAAAACATGTTACGAGAAGGGAAAAAGGGTCTGTTTAAGGTGGCTCAAATGGCTATAAAAAAATTAGCATTTTCATGTAACTTTTAGACCAGGAAAATCCAGCTTTGCCGGGGTCAATTTAAGGTCTCGATGCCAAAGAAACCTTGGCAGGTTGACTAAGATTGAGTGAGCCTGTCCAAGAACTAACCCAAATGATCATGGCCACCACCACCTGGCCTTTTTTATTCACACAAATTATCAACCTCAGAATAATAAAACGAAGAGGCCATGCCATCAGTGAGTGAGAAGCTGCATGGCAATGGCACGGCTGTTTTCCTCGAGCCACACTCTCCACTTACCAATTATTTTCTCTAATCCAAAAAGATTAAACCTAAAGCCTCAAGGGTCAACTTCAAATTCTACTTTCCAACTGTCCTAATTAGTTTTTAATTAACCCCTAATGACAACTTTGCTATTTGGTCGTTTTCCACTGGGGCAAAAGACAATTTGCTTGATCATCGAGGAGAACATGTTTGCCTAGTTGTACCAATTTTATATGCACCTAGGCCTTCAAAATTTTGACACGATTTCGCCTCTCTCGCTCTGGATTTCCCCATGTGATGTCCAAGATGAGACATGACCTAATTCTGCTAGGATGTGTTTGGCACCGGCCCTACATGTATATATGATTATGGGGTAAAAAGGCATGTACGGAGCGTAAGATTGATGACAATGGAAGGGAACAAGATCCCTAAACACAAATTTTTTCGAGGCAATTGTCGTGGCATTTGTCCCTAACTGTTTTATTTTCTCCATTTATTTTATCATCTATAGGGTGAAACATGTAAACATGATACGTGTCGCAGACCCATGTTCTTCTCTTTGACCAGCCCAATAAGATATTAACTAATGCAAAATGATTTTGTAGTTTGCGCATGAGAGCCATGAGGAAGGGGAACGGCATATAATGTCGTAAAAGGAGCCTAATATATTAAAGTAACAAAAAGCTTTCACCAACTCATAATCAAGTGCAAAAAATTACATGTGACTACGAAGGTGAAATTCAATTACAAGGCAAACCATTCCAACTAGGACAAGGGAAATAACAACGAAAACATAAAGACAACAAATTGAAAAACAAAATAGCACTGTTGATGAAAACACACATCTAATAGAAAAATGTTGCTCTAAAATTGTCCTTCCAAGTGGCACTCCATATATTTTAGGGAGCTTTGGTTTAAAATTAATAGGGAGTTCCATATTGTGATAGATAGGAAACTAATTTCACCTAATTTACTTGAAGTCAATGACTAATAAATCAACCTCAAATTACAAAACTACAACTAAAAAATCCCATAAATTACAATGATTGCCATTACAGCTTTTTTATAAATAATTTCGTTAATTCATTTGAGGTCAACCTCTAGCTGTCCACTGATCTGTGAGCCTTGCCCAACTCCTATAGCCTAAACACAAGTGACATCAGCTTCCACCTTCAAACGACATCAACTCCTACAGCCCAAGCCCAAAACGACAACAAAAACCGCTACGACATCAAAACCGGAACTCACGCTACAACTTCAAACGCGCTCAACCTATCTTCCCACTCCTCATTTCTTCTCCGTCACTTCACTCTGAAAATTTCGCAAAAACACTCACCTTTTTGCTCTCAAATATATTTTTGAAATCGAAAAGAAATCATAAACTATGAAAAGCAGACATCAACGAAAACACACTACAACGCATTTGGAAACTATGTAAGAAACTCTCTCTCATTCCCTCACTAAATCGGAAATTACATCGTAGTGCCTAATGGCTCTAACACATTTGCCTTCATTTCTAAAATATTCTTCGCCTATTTCGCAAACTACATAGCAGTTTTAGGGATTTTAGGGATTAGAGATTTTAGGGATTTTAGGTATTGTTGATTCTGCATTTGAAAAAATGCATGACTCTTTCGATTAATAACTACTTTTGGTTTGGGCATTTTAACAAACACATGGAGGGCACACTATAACACAGTAGTTTTTGCATATTGGTTTTTTTTTTCTTTCAAATTTTATTGAGATATTTAGTCATATACCAATTCTTAGCACAAAAAATATAAATAAATCTTACACTATTTAATTTCTATAAACAAACCCAAAAAACAACAGTTGGCTCTATTTAATTAAATTTTGATTATTAAATTACTTTGATGCCCTATTGAGTGTTTTAGGTTTTTTTAATGAGATTTTGGGGTTGGGCTTGTTTTAAAAAATCGATGGTAGTTTTGTAATTTATAATAAATTAAAAGCCTCATTGTTATGTTGTAAATAGGCTTTGAGTGTGTTTCTAAAGTTCATTTTATATATGATATTTTTATAATTTAGGTCTCTATATTAGGTATAATAGTGAATCTCCCAATTTTATTTGTATATGTGAACAATATAGATCACTATCCTAACTGCATCAACTACTATTCAAATTTAACATAATATCATAATGAAGCAAATAATCATTGTCCTACCAAATTAACCATGCACGTACGATTGCTCCACGTCATCCAATATAATTAGACCAGTGTGTTTAACTCAATTTAGACTAGATATTCCAATCGGACCCACAAAAAGTAGGGTCCCAATACATCGTAATCTAATACCTATGTATCTGTATGTCTCTTTATTTAGCATATCAATCATATATACATTTGTTATATGCACGCCCCCCTCCCCAACTTATACAAAAAATGTCTTTATATGTCTAATATAATTTAATCTAGTGTACAAAATAATGTGTATAAAAAATGCCTCGCGTGCCTATTATAAAAAATGCCTCAATTATTTTAGCCCATTATCAGAAAAGTGAAAACAAATCAAATTTACACTATTCTTTTGTGCCCCCACTTCAACTTCTCATTTCAAAACCCAAAAGAAAATTTTATTTTAATAAAACATGAAAAACTTTATGTGTATTATTAACTTATAATTATACCAAGGTTTTAATTGTAGAGAGAGAGAGAGAGAAGAAAAAAAAGATTGAACTGCCCAATTAATATTAATTTGTACGCCCAATTTATGGTGACGTGTCTACTTCCTTTGAATTACCCAATCATTGTCGAAACCGTTTTATTTTTGCATGCAATCAAATGCTCGCCACGGATTAAAGTGGCAGCACTTCCGTGGTCCGGCGGTCCATCGTCCACGACGCACACTCCACGAAAAATGGAACCGACGGCTGAGATTTGATGACCGTTGATGCTTCGCATTTTCAAATCAAGTCGATGTCTATTTTTTAGTATAGCCTCTGCGGATTTATCAATTAGCATCGCCGTAGGCTTCCATCGAGTGTAGTAGGACTGCGCGCCTGCGCCGCTTCGCTGTCCGTGAATCATACAATCGTGGCCGTCCATCTGGATTGATGATGATGATCGAGAAACGCCACACTATCAGTTGTTAAAAGCGAAAGCCGCTTTTGCAGGGGCCGCAGCACTCACTTCTCACACTCAGTAGGCGTCAGTCAGCTATTAAAATCGACGGCCAAGAATCAAGGGAGTTGCCTTCCGAAAGAAACGGCATCCGTTGCGCCACGTCGTCGAGTTTGCGTTAGAAAAAAAATGGGAATATCTAAAAGCCATTCATCCCATTGGTCATGGGCCTCATTAACATAGAATGACCATACCAACATATTTACTTGTCAGTTAATATGAGTTTAGCCAGTTGGGCAATGCAATACATTCTTTCCATTGCGTTCGAGTTTAGAGAACTTTAGAATATCCCTCTTGCCAAAAAATCAAAAGATCAACCCATTATTTTCCACATGTCAGATGGTATAATGACGATGATGATGGATAGGATAGGGAAAGGGAGGGGCGGGGGACTAAATTTAAAAGGATAATGATTAGAAATGGAGTAATGATGGAGCGCCTCCTTCCGTATGGAATAAATGATTAAAACCCAAAAACAATAAAAACCCACTCTAAGACTGCGCGCAGCCATAGCCGTCATTTCCTCTATTTTCCTTTGCTTTTCCTTATGATTTCTATTTTCCGTATTTATAATTAACTTAAACTCATTATTATTATTTATTTGTATAGTATTGGTAGTGCTAGTGTTGGAAAGAGAGTGAAAAAGCCAAATAGACAGGGACGGAAGAGAAAAGGGATAAAAGAAAAAACACATAAAATAGGTAGCAAGCAAGCAGCAAGCACCGAATTTAATAAAGCTTGCTGGGTTTTTGTCACTAAAATTAACTGAATAAATAAGAGAAATAAAATAAAAAAGAAGGTGGGGGGATTCTAGAGAGAGAGAGAGAGAGGAAAAGGAAAAGCCCAAAAATCAGGTATTTAAAGGGGGGCAGAAGGGCACTTGCTGTATCTCTGCAATGATGATCTACTCACCACCTAAATGAGAAAAGGAGACGAACGAACAAGCGCACACCCTTAAAACGCACCCCTCTCTCTCTTCAAGTTCCATCCCAATCCCAACCATAACCCCAACCTTTCGTTTTTTTAATTTTTGATTTTTATAAAAGAATTTGGGGTTTTGGGGGTTTTTGATTTGGAGCTGGCTGGGGCCCGCCTCAGCCTCCGGCCTATATATGGTTCTGTTATGATGTGCTGCGAAGCAAAACGTGAGCTGTGAGGCCCTCTCTCTCCTTGATTTTCTCCATTTTCGAAGCTTCAGCTCAGATTTTCTTGCTTACATCTCACGTTATGCCTCCACCTCACTTACTCCTCCACTCTATTTTGCGCCCTTGAAAAAACTCCAGCCCTCCTCCTTTATATATACACCCTCAAACCCAGAAGAAAACACCAACCCTTTTGTTCTCTGCTGGGTTTTCTGAGCAGTCCGCAACGCTGAGTTTCGTTTTGTTAGGTACACCCACATAGAGGAAACCGATATATATATATACATATAAACACACATACAATATGGTAGAGGATCATAGCAGGAGGGTTAATAATACAGTGGTGTTGAGAGAGTTCGACCCGAGCAAGGACTGTGAAGTGGTGGAAGATGTCGAGAGGAGATGTGAGGTGGGTCCCGGCGGCGAGCTCTCCCTCTTCACCGACCTCCTCGGCGACCCAATTTGCAGAGTTCGTAACTCTCCTGCTTATCTCATGTTGGTAAGTAAATAATAATCAGCCATATTAACGTGGGTTTTATTTAATATTTGATTTTTTTATGTCCCTTTTAAAAAACAATTTTTAATTTTTGGGTATGTACGAATAATAATATTTGATGGTCGTTTTGTTTTGGATATGTGATTATTTTTGTAGGTGGCTGAGCTGGTGGGGGAGGAAGAAGAGGAGAAAGAGGTAGTGGGAATGATTAGGGGTTGCATCAAAACCGTTACATGTGGCAAGAAGCTCTCCAGAAATGGCAAAAACGTTACCCGTCACAACAAAAACGACGACGTACTCGACGACACCCTCAAGCCCCTCCCGGTTTACACCAAGCTCGCTTACATATTAGGCCTCCGCGTCTCTCCTTCTCACAGGTAAATATCCTAACACACCCACCTTTTTCATCATCCCACCCAACACACCCAAAAACAAAAAGTTTTTATTTTTATATTTATGTTTTGATATTTTTCATGTAATAAAGTTATTTATTTATTTAAATTAATTTTACAGGAGGATGGGAATAGGGTTAAAGCTGGTGCACAGAGTGGAGGAGTGGTTCAGAGAAAACGGAGCTGAATATTCGTACATGGCCACAGATAACGACAACAAAGCTTCCATAAACCTCTTCACCGACAAATGCGGCTACTCCAAGTTCCGTACGCCCGCTATCCTCGTCAATCCGGTCTTCGCCCACCGGGTCAAGCTCTCCTCCCGCGTCGACGTCATCAAGCTCTCCCCCTCAGACGCCGAGTCCCTCTACCGCCGCCGATTCGCCACCACTGAGTTCTTCCCCCGCGACATTGACGCCGTCCTCAACAACCGCCTCTCCCTCGGTACCTTCCTCGCCGTGCCACGTGCCACCTTCAACGCCGGAACCTGGCCGGGGTCGGATCAGTTCCTGGCCGATCCGCCCGAGTCCTGGGCCGTCCTCAGCATCTGGAACTGCAAGGACATCTACACTCTCGAGGTCCGCGGTGCGTCGCGCGTGAAGCGGACCCTCGCGAAGACGACCAGGATCATGGATCGGGCCCTACCATGGCTGCGGCTGCCGTCGGTGCCGGAGCTGTTCAGGCCGTTCGGGTTCCACTTCCTGTACGGGCTCGGAGGGTCCGGCCCACGCGCGGAGAAGTTCCTGAAGGCACTCTGCGGCCACGCGCACAACCTGGCGAAGGAGCGCGGGTGCGGGGTGGTGGCGACGGAGGTGTCGAGCCGCGAGCCGCTGAGGTTAGGAATTCCTCACTGGAAGAGGCTATCGTGCGACGAGGACTTATGGTGCATCAAGCGGCTCGGGGAAGACTACAGTGACGGCTCTGTCGGTGACTGGACCAAATCGGCACCTGGGATGTCCATTTTTGTCGACCCCAGAGAGGTCTAATAACGTAAAGAATCCAAATTAGCTTTTTTTTTTTAATTTTTAGTTTTTTTTTTTTTTTAGTTCTAACTTTTTCTATTTTGGGTTTTAAATTTTGGGGCTGCCTGGTCCCTGTGGGTAGACTAAGCAAATGTTGGGGTGGGAAGAGAGGAAAAAAGAAGATATGGGTTTTTTCGAGTTGTATAAGGGAATATCCAAAAAAACCGCCTCCAACTTTTTTCTTTTCATTTTTTCTTTTTTTGGGTTAGCCATGTAACTTTTTGTAAATGGATGTGTCTTTTTAGATCCTCTTCCAGCCAAACGCAGCCTGTGGTTTCATGTGGGGTTCCTTATCTATCTTTTACCTACTTTTAAAAGAAAAAAACACAAAGGGTTCTCTATGATCTCAAAATCAGATTGAGGAAATCTTGGCCTGCTTGACACTCACTGTGTTATTATGTAATGGGAATATCCCTTTTTAAAATTATGCATGCAAAAAAGCTCAACCCAAAATCACTTTTTGGGATAGTACCATATCATTTGTCCTTGATTTGATTATATGCTATATTAGCTCTAGGAGGAGTAAGCCTTTTTCCTCAATCACTTTTTGGTTAATTAGGTTCTTATGATTTTGCATCTTTCTAGTTAAGGGGGTAGTGGGAATATATTTTTTTCTAATTTTTTTTTTAAAAAAGCTTGAAATGGACTAGACTAGGCAGCAAAATGATGAGGGGTAAATTCGTCTCTTTGGCATTTCTAGGATGTGCTACTAATTTCACATGTTCATGTTTAGTACTCTTTTTGAGGATGAACTTTCAACTTTTGTGGTTCGGTGGTGTCGGGGGATTCTTCTTTCTTTCTTTTTGGCTTTTTGGCTTTTTGGCTTTGTTGGTTGTTAATTTTTTTATTTCTTGATATGATGATGATGAAATCGATGGGCGATTTTGGCTTTTAGCTTCTATGTGGGTTTCGCATTATATATATTTGCACTG